TAGATCTGCCTTGATCTGGCTTCAAAGGACAGAAGCAGCATCAAGAAACACCAAATTGAAAATTTCAAAATATCTTAAAAGTAAATTCAATTATTAGACATAATTATTATGTGACCAGTGTATATTTTTGCATGTAATAAGCATGGCAAACTTTATAATTGTATGAGCAAAGTTATGTATATTGTACTGAACGTTCTCAAAAGAAGCAAAAAGAACTCAGAACACTAAGGATAACATTAAATGAAATACTGCATACATGTCAAATATTCCCAACATTTCTTCTGAAAAAACTGGAAAAAAATCTCAGTGGTTTCATAATTCCCGGAAATATTATATCTCCAAATATCCTTTATGGCATAGGACTTATACTGAGTGTCAGTTTAATTGTTAAGGCATCAGGCTAGAAACTGGAAGATAGTGAGTTCCAGGCCACCTTAGGCACAAAGAAAGCTGGATAATCTTCACCAGTCACTTTCTTCCAGTCCTAGGAAAGAGGAAATGGCAAACCACTTCTGAAAAACATTGCCAATAAAAATGCAGGGAGTTGTCCAGGCAGTTTCTGAACATCAGATACAATTGAAGAGAAGGGGGCAAAAACGACTTATACTGCAAACCGTGAAAGAAAAAACTAGCAAGCCCAAGCTGACAAAAATAGGAAAGAATTTTACAGAAATTGTTAAATATTTTTGCTAAGTATAAAGCAAAATGAAATAAATTAGCACAATGTAAATTCTTTTTTGTTCTCGGAATTATATGCAGAAATTAAGCTATGTGCATAAATCATTACTTCATCTTAATATGCTAAGGTGCTTGCTTATTATTTCTTGTATATTATCAAGAAGCTTAAAATTCAACAATCAGCACGAACTTCTGCTAAAGATATTGGTTACCTAACACAGGATTATTTGAATTATGTTACTGAAAACCTTAGCATTTGATGATGTTCCATGAGAAAACAAGGGCAATACCCTAACCCCAAAAGTTCATGCAGTCTTCCACTACTAAAAGTATGCTTCTTGATCAGAGGCTCACGGGAAATATTTTTAATTAATTGGTTCTGTGGCCTGAAAAAAAAATTGAAAACTCTTGGGCTAATGAGCCCTCTGAAAAGCTGCTCTATATACCTGTGCAATTTTTAACGCAAACCAGGGAAAAAATATTGCATAGCTTCCCAATTCCTCAATGAAATCTCAGAACACTATTCGCGATCCAATCTAAATAGAATGTAGTGTTGAAAGAATAAGCTTTAGATATTGTAAATTATATATATATATATATATATATATATATATATAAATCACATCAACAGAACGATCTATTGTGGACAGAATTTAAAAAGGGTTTTATTTTCTTAAAACAAAAAAATATGAATTGAAACAAAAAGGTTAGTGTAAGCAAACAAGAACCCCAATTACTCTCCTAAGGCTAATGTGCCAAATAAAAGCTGAAAACTGATACCCATCAGAAATGCTGACAAACAAGCTTCTCTACTCTGCTGAATTGTCTGTACATCATACATTATAAGCCTTGTTTTGTGCAGAGTGGGACAAACTGCAAAACTGAAAAAAGAGGAGAGGTCGAGAGAATATTTCACTGCAGAGAGCCAGCAGGAAATTCCAAACACTCCATGAAAGAATTAACAAAGTTTCTGGGAAAAGGATGTGTGTGAGTATACAGAGGAAAAATCATAACATGCTTCTGAACCTTCAATGACAGGGCCTGGGATAAGGAAAAGACAGAAGGAAAGAAGCATACCTCCCCTGGCTTTGTTTCCATTCATTTTAAACAGTCAAAGGTAGATTGCCCATGCCTAAAGTTCAATTCCAATATTACCTGTATATTATTTATATGGAAGCCTTTTAATTCAGAATGAACAGATCATGTGACAGCAATTTTTTTTTAGCCTTGGATCTCTGAATAAGCTGAACACATACTATAAATAAAAACAAATTACTTTACTAGAACAGATTGTAAGTAAAATTGAATCGGACAGCGGGGGTGAATAAAAAGGAACATATTGTGCAAAAAGTAAAGCACTTCCATGTTTAGACAGATGGAATAAAATGGGAAGTGTTAAAGCAATGCTTTCATAAGCATAAAGAGAAATTAAACATCTTATACTCACTAGAGCTTACTCCCAGCACTTGGAGTGGACTCCAGTGAAAGCTGAAGTCAAATAACTTTTGTGTACTGTTGATTCAGTATTCTCCCAGAAAGATACCCTTAAGGATTAGACGCCTTTGTCTAACTTTAAAGTACTTTGAGGTTGAGCAAAGATACCAGACTAGAATTATTTTACCCATGGGAAAATTAAGGAAAGATATACTGTGACATAACTCAGCAAAAGTTAAGGAATTCCCTCCTAAGGAAAAAAAAATCTTCACATTTTTCAGGCAAGGACATTTTAAAGAAAGATGTATTTTGTTCATTATAAAATATTCTCATCACACTTTGAACAGTAGTCAAAGTGGATTCCAATTTTCAAAGGATAAAACAACAGAAACAGATTATTATGTAAAAGGTAAATAACCAATGACAAGAGCAAATTTTGCTTTAATTAGCTTTAAAGGCTCAGGAGACCAGACTTCAGCTGCTCTCCAAAAAACAGACTAGCCAGATGCTAGGCTAATTTTCTAGCAGCAGTTATAGCTGCTACCACAGAAGATGCCATCTTTACCAACCACTATCTCATCAGTCAAGGAGAAGGTCTCCCCAAAAGTGTCAATTGTTGATCTCAATATATGCTCATAAATAAACACTTCCCAATAAAGAACATTTGTAGCTCAGGGCTGAAATGAGGAGTCCTTGATATTCTTTCAGCTTGGTTGTTTTCTTGCAAACCTTTCATTACCCAAACTAGGTAACATCATCAGTGCTGGTCTAATGAAACATCTGCAAGAAAACAACCAAACTGAGAGAGTACCAAGGACCACTCATAAACACTTTCCCTAGACCAGTGATGGCGAACCTTTTAGAGACTGAGTGCCCAAACTGCAACCCAAAACCCACTTATGCATCGTGGAGTGCCAGGTGGGTGTGGCCCATTGGGTGGGGGTGGCCAATTGGGTGGAGGTGGCCAATTGGGTGGGCATGGCTGCAGTGGTAACGGCAGACTGGGTAGGACTAAAAAGTTAAATCAATCAATTCCAACTTTGCAAGAACTTTTTTTTTCCTGTGAGAAGTTGAAATTGACTGATTGAACCTTTTTTTTTTTTTTTTTTTGCACATGGCAGCGGAGGCCTAAAGCGAAAAGGTTTTATAAAACCCAGCTGAAGGCCTAGGACTAGGGCGACGACGCACGTGCCCACAGAGAGGGCTCTGAGTGCTGCCTCTGGCACCCGTGCCATAGGTTCGCCATCACTGCCCTAGACCCACTAGGACAGGGGTCTTCAAACTTGGCCCTTTTATGACTTGTGGACTTCAACTCCCAGAATTCCTCAGCCAGGCACGCTGGCTGAGGAATTCTGGGAGTTGAAGTCCACAGGTCATAAAAGGGCCAAGTTTGAAGACTCCTGCCCTAGGACTTCATATATTCTGCAGCAACATTTAAAAGCTATTGTACAACTTTCTTTAGTAGGAGACACCTCTGTGCTATTTTGGTGCACATGGGTGTTGGCTTTGTGTTCTTATGGAACAACATGACTCTGATAACATCTACAGTTTAGCAAGAATGTCCTTTTCTTTCCAAATGAAATGAAATTGATAAAAGCTTTTCATCCTGAAGGTACCATTTGTGCATCTAATACTAAAGTCAAATCCATAAAAACACTCTGGGCATAAGAACAATATTGTTCAGAAGAAAAAATTAAATTAAAACTTTATTAAACTTTATTAACTTTATCAAAAAAACTTTATTAAAAATTAAATTAAAACTTGCTTTTGAATGTTTATCATGTTTCAATATCTCTTCAATGAGGGTTTGATAATTCAAGTGTCTATCAGTGTCATCCAAAGCCAATCTCTGTTTGAATGACTTTTATAAGGGACACCAACAGATTTTATAATAACACATCACTTTTAATAGGGCTTCTATAAACTTATATGCATTATTTTCAAAAAAATGTATAATATTCAAATTTACTTAATTAAGGGACCCATGGAAGAGACCATTTCTAGAGTTTAGTATTATCAAATAGCTTTCATCTGAACAAATTCAGTCAGATAATCTCATGTTTCCATGGGAGAAGTTAACTAATGACATTGTAAAGAAATCTTTCAGAGTGTCCCAGAAATATTTTTTTCAACTTAAGTTCTTAGTGTTCCCATTTTTTCCCCTCTTTACTGTCCTGTTTATAAAAACATGCACGAAGAAACATAGATGTGGAAGGTTTTCTCTTATCTCGAGAAAACTTTTTACAGCCTGGGACCTAATCCCAAGCCTGCTTCACACCTTTCTGGAATTTTAGGCATGCAATCCAGAAGGAAATAATCCCATCTGATGGCCACACATCTGTATTTCAGCGCACGCAGGCCAAACACATGTGTCGTGCACTGTCACGGAGGGTTCCTAAGTGGCCAATTGTTCGGCTAACCACTACCTAGAAAAGGAAGAAACCCGAGGCTTTGTTTTGAGAACTGGATTCGCAAGGATCCCTGTTTGGGAGAGGCAAAGCAGCATTTCAACAATGTGGCCCAACCCGTGGAGCCTGTACCTATTGCAATAACCGCTAAACTCTTTCGTGCAACCCGCTCAGAACCACCAGCCCCCGGTCCAGAACCGAGCTCCGGTTTGGACGGGAAGAGGAGACGGCCCCGTTTTCATTCGCGAGTGGAGGGGGGAGGGTTGGGTATTCCGTTGGTCCAACGGATAGCGAGGGGAACTTTTGCTCCTTTGGAAACTTCAAACATTTCCATCAGCCCAAATCTCCCTTCTTTCCCGGGCGGCAGGCAGACACTCACTCACTCACACCCCTCCCCATCCCGCAGCCGCTGCGAGTGGCCCTCCAGCCAAGCAGTCCGACTAGCTCGCCCGCCAAACGCAGTCACAGCTAGAGACTTACGGACTTTGACTTTGCGGTGATCCAAGCAACCGGCGAGAGCTTTGAGGGACTCCAGGCGGCACTGGAGCCGGACGCTCCGGCGCCCGAGGCTGTCGGCTTCGCTCTGGATCCCGCTGAAGATGTCGCTGGCCCAGCGGGAGAGATCAGAGAGCTGCCAGAGGAGGGAGACCAGCGAGCGGGAGCAGACTTCTTCCAAAGAGTCGAAGAGGCGAAGCCCCGCGCCGCTCCGCCTGGCGTGCCCGTCTTTGTCCCTCTGAACGACGGCGGCGGCGCCCTCTTCCAAGCGGCAGAGCTTGAGGGGCGCCACGGTCCTCAGAGGAAAAGGCATCGTTGGGCTTCCGCTTCTCTGGGCGGAAAGCAACACGCATCCAACCCAAGCGAAAGCTTCGCGCTGGGTCCTCTTCCCAAAGAAGGCCGAGCTTTCCTTTTTCTTCTTCTTCTCCTCGCCGTTTGTTATTAAAAAGGCCGGAGCAAAGAGCTCGCGTGGCCGCCAGCCCCGTTAGCCCAGGGCCCGCAGGGGAATCGCCACAGGTACATTGCGCCGATGCCAGCGTTTGGAAAGAGTTGGTTCGCTTGCCCCGCCGCTTAGCCGAAAAGGCGCTGCAAGAGCGGAGCGTGGCGGAGGGGGGGGGGGGCGAGAGGAATCCAGAGCTTTGCGCCGCTGCCGGGCAGCTCCGAACAGAAAAACCGGAGGGAGAACTGATGTTCTTGGAAGTCAACGAGGAAGCGGGCTGGAAAGAAAAGGGGAGGGCTCTGCTCGGCGGACCCCGAAGGCGCTTGAACCCCTCGCCCGGTCACCTGGGATCCCCCTCTTGTTGCTTTCCCGAAACAGCCGCTCTTCCGCCCTGGGAAACCGACAAGACGGGGACGGGAGCAAGACGATCCGTCTCACCAGAAACCTGGCGCGAGTGCTTTAAGCAATCCCAATAACAACAATCAAGGCCGCCGCCTACCTGTGGCTCTCCCTGCCTGAGTTACTCCTTGCCCCCAGCCAGCCGAAGGTGGAGCGCCTCTTTCTCCGCCTTCGTATTAACTCTTTCTGCCGCTGGAGGTCAGCGAATCTCAGCTTTGGCTCAGTTCATTTCTTTCGGCCGAGGAATCTTCCCGGGCTCTTTGCCTCAAAAATGAACTTCCTCCTCTTCACTCTGAGCTGCCCAGCGGAGCCGTCCCTTTACAGCTGCCACCCTTTTCACCTATTTTAAGGGCCCAGGAGAGCCTCGGCCTTATTATTTAGGTCTCCAATGCCCGTTCTTTTTCACAGAAGCGGTCTTACGCTAAGGGTAGGAGAACAAGAGTATAAATGGGGAATTGGATTTTTCTGGGACCTTTTGGTAAAATGGACTGAATCCCTAATGGCATTGCTGTGGCGGTTTTAAGGGTGGGCTCCCTGATCCTTTTTCTTGCAACACTCATTTATTTATTACTTTTATATCCCATTTTTCAATCAGGAATGGAAAGCAGAGCATCTTCTGTTATGCTCTGCAACAACAACCTTGCGAGGTAGTTTTATATCCCATTTTTCAATCAGGAATAGAAGGCAGAGCATCTAGGGTTCTCTCCTCTTATGCTCTGCAACAACAACTCTCTGAGGTAGTTTGAATTTAGAGAAAATAGTGGCCCAAAGCAACATGATGAACTTCTTGACCCCTCACGCACAGAGGATCTTCCATTTATCTATATTCCTAGCCAAAAGATAAGACTTTTTTCCATAGCACTAGAACCCTGGGAGCTAAATTGTGGTCAATTTTGTCTCAATGAGAGTCAATATTGGTATCTCTTTTGATCTTTTATTCAGGTGACATTCTAGTATATGTCATGCATGTCACATGCTCATTTGGACTGATATGTGGCAAACTATTTAGGGAGAATTTCTTATACTATTCATTGATAATTGGTTTTTTCCATAAATCTTGAGGTTTGTGGGATATCTCTAAGGGCTAGATGCATACTAACTTGTCCAGAGTTACCTTGTGATAAGATTGGTGGCCAATAACTTTTATAAATAAATACTAACCATATGTTATTTCTTGTAGTGCCTTAGCTTGCTGAAAATAGGGGCATTTTAAGTAAAACCTCTGAATCGTGAGACCATCTGGCTGATACACTTGGAAAGAAAACAAGTATCTATATAGCAGACATAGCAATAGCACTTAAGACTTATGTATATACTGCCCCATAGGCTTTATAGCACTCTCTGGGCAGTTTAAAGAGTCAGCATATTGCCCCAACAATCTGGGTAATTTTACTGATCTCGGAAAGATGGAAGGCTGAGTCAACCTTGAGCCAGTCAAGAACAAACTCCTGGCTGTGGGCAGAATTAGCCTGCAATGTTGCATTTTAACAACTGTACCGTCAGAGGAATAGAACTGTTATTCTTTTAAAAAAAAATAGTTTGCTCACGTCTTCTGGAAGTAAAGTACATTCATAAAAATACTTCAACCTCTTGTGTTGCCTAGAATGGTGTTAGCTCACTCATATTAGTCATGCATAATATTTTCTATATCTTTCTGGCTCCACAGTTATTCAATTACAAGGATTTTCTAAATCTGATTAAGTTTCTCAATGTCATAAAATACAATTATAAGCTACAGGCACATACAAAAGAAAAATGCATTGGTGTTACTTTAGCTGTAATCACTAAAAACTTCTGTTCCTACTTTAGGTATTTCTGCAAACATGTGTATGCTTGTCTATCTCCCGTACTTCAGGCAGGGGAACTGTTAGGCTACAGAGCAGATGTTAGAATCCCTGCCCAATCTTGAGTTTAAACATTCAAAACCAGGTGTTTGTTACTTAGAACATCTAACCATGAAGAAGAAATCATTTATAAAGGACATTCAGTTCAAGCTTGGTGCTACTTAATAACCAGTGAATGCACATAGAAAAGAATTACACCTGCCATTTTATCCAACCAAGTTTTAATTACATGTCAGCTAATTACATTCTTCCTGAATAATGGCTCAGGTGGTCATTATAGTTGGATTAGATGATCCGGCATACACCAGCATTAAATTAGGGCCTAGGGGTCATAGATAATTAGTAGAGCAAGAATAGACAACTCAAAGATCTTGCACAGCTTCAGACTAGGGCTACACGGCTGGAAATTTAGGGTAGCACTGAACTGGTATAGTGTCATCCAAATTACTTTAGAAGGCCCGAAAAATACTTAGTACGAGCCCCTAGATGGCCAAAGGGCACTCATCATTATCTGATGATGCTGATGAAGTGCCTGGAGGCTCTCAGGGCCAGGAGGAATAAACTCGGATCCTTCCAAGATGGATTGGCTTTGGATTTGTGGATCTAACAATTCCACAGAAATGGCACCTTTCTCTCTGAATGGGGTTCTATTACCCCACTTGGAGATGGTCCACAATCTGGAAGCCCTAGACTCATGGCAATGAGTACAACCGGCAGCTAAATAGGAGTTTTGCCTAGTTCCATCCGGTGCACCACTTATAACTATCCTTGGATCAGAAAGGCAGGTTCATGATCACTCATACTTTATCACTTCTCAGTTGGATTTCTCTAATGCATTCTACATGGGTTGCCCTTGAAGAACATTCCAAAGGTACAGGTAGAATCCATCAGCTCAGGTATGCCCTGATATATTTGGATGACACCCCACCCTACCCTTTGCTTTAGAAGCCCCATTGGCTGCCATTGGGTTCTGAATGTGATTCAAAGTGCTGGTTGTCGCTTCGAAGGTCCTACTTGGCTCCAGTCTTGATTATTTCAGAGGCTATCTTGTCTGCCCATTCACCTCCTTGTCCAAATAGGTATCATATGGCCAACAATCTCCAGGCTTCCTTCCTTGGCAATTGTCATCAGAGGGAGACAGAAGCAAGTTTTCTTTTCACCAACATCTCCATCTTCTGGAACTCCTTCACAAGATTCAGTAGGCTTTATCCATCCTGTGCTTCAAGAAACTAGAAAAAAAAAACTTTTCCTTTCACCACAGGATAAGGCTTTGTAAAACAGAGGCAATGCCTGCAGTATCTTTGGTATATTTATATGAGTTTTGTTTTTGTACCTATTTGACATTTCAATTGTTTAAAAAAATATTATTCTCCTAAAAAAATCTGGGAATGGACAGCATACCAGTATAGTAAACTACCAAATAATGTCTGTTATCCTCCTATAGTCTGGTGCTGGGTTCCTCCTCCAGATATAAATTATACCACCAAAATCTTAAAATGTCAGATTTCAAACTAGAGGGAGAGATGCAGATAGCTGATTTAAAGTTACTAAAAATGAACTAATTTAATAAGAAAAAATAGATTAATGAGAAAGTGTACTCATAGCAAATTAAGTGGAAAAATGAGCACACTGTTCTTATATCCTCCTGGCATTTAGTCATCACTAAATGATTAATTGTTGTAAAATACATTTTGTAGCCATATGTTGTGGTGAAGATAGTCCTAGTCATGGGGTGTCACAACAAGGACAGCCAATCCTTGCTATCATTGAGAACAGGGTAGCAATTTGTCTTGATATTTTCAGTGATTCCAACCCAAATTCTAAACGCAGAAGAGGGGAGAAGGGAGGAAGAAGGAGGGAAGAGGAGGAGGAAAGAGAGGGAGGACCAGGGGAGGAGGAAGGAGGAGGAGAAAGAGAATGACAATTAGTAAAGGCCAACATAAAAAACTCATCAAATGATTCAAATTGCAGATTGTGCAAAGAGGCAGAAGGAACAACATACCATATATACTGCTCATGCGATCACAAGCTGATTATAAACAACAATATAACATAGTCACCAAAATGATTCACTGGAACATCTATTTGGACTGGACAAATGTGCCACTCTCACCATCAACAGGGGGAAACAGTGAGTGAATCAAGATGCCCTACAGAAATAACATCAAGAGTCTGGATAAAGACAAACACTACAAACACCTGGGCATCCTTCAAGCTGATGACATCAAGCACACTGAAGTCAAGAAGGAGGTTACAAGTGAATACATTATAAAAGTGAAGAAGATCTTAAAATCCAAACAGAGTGGAGGAATTACCATCAAGGTAATTAACACCTGGTCAATTCGTCATTAGACACACAATTGGAATATTGAAATGGACTCAAGTAGAATAAAAAGTCCTGGATTAGAAGATCAAAACAACAACAATGAATCATGCCCTTCACCCACAAAGCAACGTTGATAGACTCTACTTGCCAAGGAAAATAAATGGGCGTGGATATCTTATATCTCCCACATAAGATCAATTGCACGGAATGGGAATTGCACAAGGTACAGCCATTTTGAGGCAGAGCTGTCATAGGAAAACATCTTGATGCAGTGAACATTTACAGTTCACTAAAAACATGATGAGTACCACACATCATGCCAGTTGGCAGGAAAATGTATGCTTTCTAGCTACAGTTTATAATTAGACATTTTGAGTATTTGCAAGTACACCAGTCAGTTTAAAAAGAAAAACGGCATCGGAAGAATATCTGAAGCACAGTGAAGAAGATAAACCTAGTATACGATGAAGACTTACTGAGTACTGAAAAGACAAAACTAGTCTATAAGAAAAGCAAAGGAAAAATAGAAAAAGAGACATGGCAAGGCAAAGTATTACAAGGCTAGTACATAAACTAATAGCAGGCAAAGCAGATAACATCAAGACCTGGCAATGGCTAAAAGCAGGAAAATTGAAGAAAGAGACAGAGGGGCTAATTCTGACTGGATAAGATTGATCCTTAAGAACAAATGCATACAAAGCCAGAATTGAGAAGATAGCAATGTACAGCAAATGTCAACTCAGTGAAGAAGCTGAAGAAACAGTGGATCACCTTGATAGCTGCTGGAAAAAGTTTGCCCAGACTGCCTATAAACAATGGCAAGACAAAAGGGCATTGGAAGATCTGCAAGAAATATTATTTGTCTGCAAGCAAGAACTGGTGTAACCATCAGAGGTAATAGAAAATAAAGAAATTAAATTGCTCCGGGACTTTAGAATTCAAACAGACAGGCACCCACCACATACCCAGACTTAACAACTGTCAATAAGAAAGGAAAAAAAGTCTGCATAGTGGACGTGGCAGTATCTGGAGAAAGGAAAAGAAAGAACTGGAGAAGACAACAAAATACAAAGACCTGCAAACAGAAATAGTAACAACTATGGCAAAATAAAGCAAAGGTAGTGCCAATAGTAATAGATGCTTTGAGTGCAATCCCCAAACATCTGTATCACCACTTGAACACTATTGGCATTGACAAATCCACCATCAGTCAACTGCAAAAGACAATTTTACTAGGAACAGCTTATTTTCTGCCATGATACATTTAATATCTGCCTACCCAGGTCTTTGGAAAGGACTTGATAGGTAGACAAAAATGCCAAATTTATCTAAACTTTTGGCTGACTGTGCGATGAACCATAATAATATTAATTCAGGCCAACCCAGCGATATAAAAGTGGTTCCAGGACCCCAAATTGCAGCCATTGCCTTTCCCTCCCTCTCTTCCTCTTTTTCTGTTTTACCTGCTCTATACCAATATAGGTTGCCAGGCCAGTTTTCATACATAAGGCATCCATGCTCTATGCATGACACTTCATCCAATTTTCTGAGAGGGATTAAGTTGCTCTGGTGTGTGCATGCCCAAAGGACAGAGACACATTCCATCCAGACAGGCACAAGGAGGAGCATCTTCATGCTCCCCTCATATGAGGCAGACAAAAAAACCTGTCACCAAACTGCTTTGGTGAGATAATGGTATAACATTACTGGTCACCATAGTATTATCTTTCTGTGAAGGAAACCTAAAATTCAGGCTATGAAAAAGAGCATGTGACGTGTTAGTATAAAGTTAGTACCTTATAATGCCTTGTTGAGATCACACTTGGAATACTGCATCTGGTTTCGGTCGCTACAATATAAAAAAGATGTTGAGACTCTAGAACAGTGGTTCTCAACCTGTGGGTCGGGACCCCATTTGGGGTTGAACGACCATTTCATGGGGGTTGCCAAACAATGCAGTCCGCCATTTTCCCCCCCTTTTCCTTAGCTGTGCTTCTCCCTTTTATTCTATTGGCTTTTGAAAGCCAATAGAATAGACTCTCTTGAATAGTCTAATTCTGTTGGCTTTCAAAAGCCAATAGGAATTGTCCAGGCTGTCTCTGCCCTGCTGAGCCCGC